AATGAACGTTCTTTCGGAAATCTAAGCAGTGTATGGCCAGCTTAAGAATTGCAGTGGATAGTTTTGGGAACCAAAGAACACAGTGGCCACCGTTTTCACAGGTCTGAGATAAATGTATGTGCATTGTTTAAATGCAAATGAGAGGTTACCAGCAAGGCTGCACAGTTTGGCAGCACTTTGTGTGAATCTCTCTATTGAATGAACAAAAATAAAGATCTGTTGGCAGCTAAAACAGCTCCCATAAATGTACAGTATTTCAGCTGTAAATTTAGCTGTCTGCATGGAGATCAGCTTTAATAGAAGGAAACATTACTGATTTATCCATTCATAAAACAATGGAAGTGTGGTAAAAGTGAACCTGCTGTCTCAAATAACTATTAAAATGAAGCTATACTGGTTTTGGGCCAATTTTATTTTTTATTTTCCAAAATATTATAAATTTTTAAACTGCTGATTCATATTTGTTGTTTTTCACTATATGCAATCTTTGTTATACAGGTATTCCTCACTTAACGACCGAGTTCCGTTCCTACGACCAGGTCGTTAAACGAATTGGTCGTTAAGTGAGGAACTCTATACAGTACTGTACTGCATTAGTACAGTACTGTATAGCATTGCAGATGTACAGTACCGAACAGTGTACTGTACATCGGGCAATGAAAACACTTACCGGGACCCGCAGTGAAGATTGGAGGACATCACTTCCGCCGGCGACACGTCGCACTGACGCTGACGCGCAAGGTCGGAGGTCGATCGGCGGTCCGTCGTAAGTGCGAGTGGTCGCAAAGCAGGTAAGTCGGTAACCGAGGAATGTCTGTACATATAAAGATATGATAAAAGACAAAGAGGGTTATTCACTATTGAGCCGAAGGATACAGCCATAGGTTCGACTGATCCTTCGGCTCTCTTTGGCCGCCGGAGCAGGGCTGCTGTACAGAATATTCACAATAGCCCTACAGCAGCCGAAGGCGGCCGATTGGCTCAGCCGAGCCGAAGGTCTTGACTGAGCAGAAGTCACAGCCGAAGCGGGGGGCGGGTTGCCGAAGGCCGGCTGTTCGCCCCACAAATGACAGCTGGGTGGAGCCAGCCAAGATCTCACGGCTGGCTCCGCCCCGGTTGTATTGACAGATCAGCGTCCCCAAATGACCTCGGGACGCTGATCTGTCATTAAACAATAGCAACTGGGTGGATGTCGCGGTCGGCTCCGCACAGTTGTTATTCATTGGCCGAGACCTGCTAGAAGACTCTAGCAGGTGCCAGCCAATAGGAAACAGTTGGTTGTGGCTAACTGTCACTGCTAGCTCCACCCAATTGCTTTTCTTTTTTTTAATTTAAAATATATATTTTTTTATTTTTTATTTTCCTATTTTGGATAATATTTAATATAATTTCTTAACCTTTTATTTTTTATTTTATCTCTTTTCACTTATTTGCTATTCTGCTTGGTACCACGGAGGTACCAAGCAGAATAGCCGAGCGAGAATAGGGGTGAACAGCAGCGAGCGAGCTGCAGAGCTTCGGCTCAGGTGATCCAGATGTTGGATCAGCTGAGTCAAAGTCCCTCTGCACTTCGGCTCAGCCGAAGGCAGCCATACAGAGCCGGTGTACGGCTGATTTCAGCCGATGTACGGCTGAAATCAGCCGTACTGAGGCAGAGTGAATAGCCGAACCTCGTTCCACTCTGTTCACTTCAGCTCGGTTAGTCACTCAACTGCCTTCGGCAGCTGGGTGCATAACCCTGAAAGTGTTTCCAGAGCATTGTGGGTTATCTAAAGTGGCAGCATATCAGAGCAGCTTGCTTTGCAGCTCCGATGTCTAAATAAAACCTCCCACTGAATAATGAATCATGTGATAAGGAAGGAGTCACTGCTGTGATGAGTCATTTGAGTTCTGTACACAATGGATATACAGTAGATAACCTGAAAAGTAATGATGTTAATGATGCAAAGAAGCCTAGAGTGTCACCTGTGGCTGGATAGAAAATTGCATAGAAAATTGCATAATATTAAGGTGCATTATTTCATATTTATTAAATGTAAAAATAAAGCCTTTTATACTAACCCAGTTACGGGACACTGTTATTCACGAGATAGTCCTCCCATTCAGGTTTTCCGAGTGGTATTTGACAGGGCTCTTTGGGCCGCCTAGCAATCCCCGCAGGATCCACGGAGACCCCAGCGAGTGGGCAGGATAATGTACAGATCCCCAGGGTTCACTGAAAACACGGATTATCCCATGCCCCACACACTCCGAAAGTACTAGAATATCTCAGGGTGGAAATACCTCATTTATTGAAGCCCTATAGTATATGTATGTGTATAGGATTGTCTTATAACAGGTTATGTGGACTGCCTGGGATGGAAAGGCTATCGGAGAGGTACTTGGGCTGGCTTGGAACGGTGGGGTAGCGTAAGATGGTGAACGTTTGTTGAATATAGTTATTATGGTTAACATGTTATTGGATGGCATAGACAAAAAAAATAAACAAATAGGGGTTACCGAAACGGAAGTGAATAGCAGCCATGCATAAGGGGGTAGTAATGACCTGCGGCAAGGACATTCATGGGAGACGCACTGCAGTCTCTTGTACTATTGTACTGACAGGTCGGGGTGAGGTATGGCTATTTCGGAATAACTATAAGTTATTGTTATCTCAAATTTCATTGTTTCGTGTAACTTGAATGACATATTTTGGAAACTTTTGAAAAAAAGTGTTGATACGAATATCTTTTGACGAAAACTGTTAACTTGTCTTTGTTCGACACACATAAAATTATTTTGGAAAAAAAAAATGTAAAAATAAAGAAAACCATTTTTAGTTTTTGCAATCCTTACTATAATAAAGCAAGAACATATTTACAAAACCACTTTACATTCCCTTCAGGAATCTTTATTTTCACAGTTTAGTTTACACCGTTTATGTGATCAGCAGCCCTTTACTTTTTAGTGCTGTTTTCTTCAGTCTAATATCTGTCTAAAAAAAGTAGGCCATATATAAGCTGTATTGAGCCAATTATTGCATACATATGTATGGGCATACAGTATATGAACTGACATTTATACCTCTGGATGCCATGGAAATGAATAAAGTGTTGTGCATATCCTCTAAAGCAAATGTCCAGCTAGTAAGACTCACCACCCTCGCACACAAGGATCTTTGTCTGAAAAAAATGCTCCATATAAGTAATTTAAATCTCCCTAATCTCAAATACCTTCATTCATTAAAATGGTTCCATCCATCTCGAGACGAGGCTACTAAATTTAAACATGTTCACATTAGAGGTGAGGAGATTAAGGGGGGATATGATTTCCATGTACAAAATGTTTAATGGTGGTAGCAACATTAGCGATAAACTGTTTAAAATTAACTCCGTTACAAAAACTAGAGGCCATCACCTAAAATTGATGGAAAAAAAATTCCAGCACAAGGGGCGAAGGGGGTTCTTCACAGTAAGATCAGTTAGGGTCTGGAACTCACTGCCACAGGCGGTGATTTCAGCAAATAATGTGGAATTGTTCAAGAAACTTTTGGACGATTTCTTAAGGGACCGTAATATACAGGGGTACGGGTACTCCTAGAATGAGATCCTAATAGGTTGGACTTGATGGATTAATGTCTTTATTCAACCTCAAATACTATGTAACTATGTAACTATGAACAGAACCACTGAATAAAGTATTAATTCGCTTTCACAAGCCTTTCACACTACACTTAAGTTACATTTGCCTACTACAGTCATAAAAATCTAAATTCACATTAGAGCTTGTTTGGACAGAAGTCACTTTACCTGCCAGTATAGTGTACATCAATGCAAGGGAATGAATGATCTAGACAAGACCCAAATAAATCCAAGGAGGACATATAAACTCAGCGCAAATATATTTCTGGTAACACTTGGACCTCACAGCACGGCTGACCACTAATCAATAATATACTGGCCACTTATGAATACAGGTTCTTTTTATGCACTGGTCTCCTATTGCTTTTGTTCCTTTAGCAGCACTGCAAATGGACCTACAAAGAGTACCGGGTCTTTCCATTAGACAGCAAACACAGCTCAGTTCAGCAGTGACGTGAGACCATAGTAAGGGCCTGTGTCGACAGACTTCAATGGGTAAATGCAGCATGCTTTTGACATTAGCTTGAAACATTTCTTATGGGTCTATTCACGAAGCTGCCGAAGGATCTAGCCAAAGCTTCGGCCGATCCTTCGGCTAGCTTCGGCCCCTGGACCCCTTCGGTTCAGTAGAACCGAAGGGGTGCTGTACGGGCTATTCACAATAGCCCGTACAGCTCCCGAACGTGGCCGCTGAGCCACGCTGAAAGCCGAAGCTGGCCGAGCGCCTGGGAGAGGTTTTTTTTTCCGTTTTTTTTTTTTTTTTTTCACTGCTAGCTCCGCACAATCATTTTCTATTTACTTTTTAAAAACTTTAAAAACTATTTTTCTGTTCTGCTCGGTCCCTCTGAGGGACCGAGCAGAACAGCCGAGCCGAATGCCGCTCAGCGACATTCGGCTTTTCACTCACTGCTGTTCGGCATCTATAAGAATAGGCCGAACAGCAGTGAGTAGCCTGCCGGAGGTTCGGCTCAGTTGGATAGGCTGAGTCGAACTCCTTCTGCACTTCGGGTCGGCCGAACATGCTAAGCCATGTGAAGTAAGCCGATGTACGGATGATTTCAGCCGATGTACGGCGGAAATCAGCCGTACCAGCCTGAAGTGAATAGCCGAACAGTGTTCGGCTCACTTCACTTGGGGTCGGTTGTTCACTCGGCTGCCCTCGGCAGCTTAGTGAATAGACCAGCAAGACTCCAGAATGCTTTGCAGGTTCAGCTGACCTGCATTTTACCTGTTTTAGCTGGTTTGCATTCTCATAGACTTGTAAGGGAAAAGAAGCAGTTCTCAAGGAAACAAAAGCCTATTCACTCTGAACCTAATTGCTATTTTTGTGTGAGTCAAAAGATGCTCAGTGGTATATAGAGGGATAGGTATTATATTCACCTTCTTTGACAAATGTAGGAGCTGTTGGAGAGGTATCTTCATCATCCAGGAACTTTGAAGCAACTGTGGTGGGCCAATGGCTTGCTGTTTCCATCGTACTGATAACTCCTTGGTGCTCTTTGGTCTTCTCCATCCCTTGCTTTGTGCTGTGTTCCTCCACTGTGCTGTGTGTAGAATGTGCAGTTGTATTCTGATGCGCAGTCTCTTTCTCACTTCTAAAGTTTTTATCATTTTGGTCATCTTGAGTTATATTAGAATTCCACAAAGGAGTCTGCACATCCCATTTTTCAAGCGTCCTTTCTGAAGCATTGTCTCCCATCTTTACAAAAGGAATGTGATTAGGTCCTATTTCAATGCTGTTGGTTAATGGGTCACTTCTATTAAAGGCAAAACAATTTCTGTCTATTACACCTAAAAAGGAAAAAGAAAAAATTAAAATGCTGTCTGCATTAAGGCTTCTCTCTATCTATGCAAATTGGATCAGTCTACAAAAAATATTTTGGTGAAGGGGTGAATCCCCCATTGGCTTCTTTATCTTTTTTGGACTGCTGCAAGATGTTTATGCCTAAATCAACAGCTGCATTTACTTGATGTGTCTACAAAGAGGAGTCTTTGTACTGAATTTTGTTTTTGATTATACAGAATTAAATGACCAATGTAAGACTCCATGTTACGATGTGTGGCAGTTGGCAACTTGAGTGGGAACTCCCACACATATAAAAACTAATGTGTAATCAGATTCACTTTATGTTAGGTGGTAAGACTTTAGATGACTAACCAACAGTAAGGGCTCCTACTTGTGTTTCAGTGGGAGCTGTGTCAGTGGGGGACTCTCTGTGTTGCCATATGGAACAATCAATTCAAAAAAGTAATTACAACTTTGGCTTCAAACTCTCCTTTAAATAATTAACAGTATCAAAAAATGACATGAATTAAAAATACTGCAGCATAAAAATGCGTCTACAAATTCTTTCCAAAATGCATTTACAAAACTAGTAAATAAAACAGACTTTTTTTTAACAAACTAACATTAACAAAATACGGTATGATACTTGCGATGTTGAGGTGGAAAATGTAAACTGCAGTCTTTAAAAGTCTTGGTAAACATAAGAGACACACATTAATGCAGCTACTGTATGTGTTCAGAAATAAATCATTAGGTATTTCTTTTAAATGCAACAAGTATAAATGCTGCAGACTCAAGACCAGGAGAAGGAGAGGCAGGACTAGGAGCCACTCAAATATACTGCATGCAAATATGCTGAAAAGGAACAAGCAGGTAAGAGGAGAGAGTGCAGTGAGCAGAGAGATGACCTTATTAGTCTGCTGCTGTTTCTACACTATCTAATCAAAATGCTGGGAAGAGGGTGGTGTCAGCAATTGTGTATCTTCCTGCCTTATCTGCCTGGCTGTGCTGTGTGGCACGGCTGTGTAAATATCAAGACTTATAGCTGATCTCCAGAAACTGTATATATGTAAATTTACACTGGTCCAGCTTGGCACAATGTAGTATATACAGTATATGGGACCAGTACTTATACCTCCGTCTAAAACCTGCAGATACTAAGGGTTGGCTAAACAAAAGACATTGGCAATTCTGTTTGTATGATTATACAGCACCGATATCGACCTTTCCTATAAGCTGCACATTACTGTGTGGACTCTAAACTGTATTGCCTGTAAAAACCAATAAAGGAACTTCTTTCTCCATTCAGTCTTCTCACAAATGATAAAACTCCTTTTTCAGGAAAGCTCTAGCTCTAGTGATAGAAATACAGTCATGTGAAAAACAAAGTACACCCTCTTTGAATTCTATGGTTTTAAGTATTAGGACATAATAGGACAGAGACATGAGCTCATCAGCCTGCAGCTTCACCTTCACTGTCCAGTCACTAGCTGGGGAAGTGACAAGATTTGTTAGTGTCACCTAACTATAAAAGAGCAAAAAATTTACTCTCCTGCCATGCCAGACAGGGCTGTGGCATGTGGCAGAGCAGTGTAAATCCCACTGCTCTGCCACATGTCACATGGATGAACAAAATTAACATTTTCTTGGCAAGTAAAACAGCTCCTTTTATATGTATTTCAACTATGTACTGTATATAGCGGTAGAGTTCAGCTATAAGCTGAATGCATCAAATGAACATAGTAATTGGCAAGTTACATAATCTAATTAAACACCACAATCATTTCTATAAAACAAAGAAGTATATTAACAGTTTGAAGTTAATGTTGCAGAAAATGAAATGTATAGCCACATTACCAGGCTAGAAAATAACAGGTTTTCTCCATTTCTATATCTCTTAAGGTGTTAGCAGTCAATCTATTATATTGTTTCAATAGGAAATTACCTTTCTCACACTTGAAATTGCACATAATGATACAGTCTCATTTTTACTTTAATTGCAATTAGGTTAATGCAGCCTGTGTAGTTCCTGAACTGAGATAGCATTTCCTCTTCATCGGCCTTTAAATGTCATGTATTTTAAGATTATCTCGTTCAGTACTGGTGTATGAAAGGGCATCGTTCTGCCACAGTGTATATTTAGAATCCGGCTATGCGGAAAATGGTGCTACCCGTGTTTGTTGTATGAAATGTATTTTTAAAGCACGATAAATAAAAAGCTTCAACCCTGTGTGGATTGTATATTGCTTTAACCAATAATAGTGTTTGTGCCCGCACACAATGCAGCCATTGTGATAGATTTCTGTTTTCACTTCAGTGGAACTAAAGACATAAAACAAATTAAATTATTTGCATGGTACTCTTGAGTCCATACTATAATCTAATATCCATTTTCTTTTGGAGAAAAAAAAAAGAGCTTTTTAAATTTAATCAGTCTTGCTTATGCCATAACTCACTTTGAATCTGATGTGTGTAAATATATCCCAGGCATTTTACGGTAAAACTATTTTTAGCTGTGCCCTGTTATAAGGAGAGATAGAATTCTAGGAGAAGGCTACAATGGGGTTTTTGACTTCCTTTTGCAAGAACTGCTTGGAGGGAAGTGGATTAAGAGATTACTCTGATGTCATTGACATCAGTTAGAATAACATGCTTAAGGTTAGAAAAATATTAAATGTCATTACTTGGTCGTATATCAACTTATTAGCTTCCGCCATTCATGGTAAAAAAGTCATGTGAGAAATACAATATTAGCTATATCTATATAAAAAAAAAGACTAAAGGAATTAGTATGAAATGTTAAACATCTTTAAAATGTAAAGTAGAACTATGGGCTCGATGTGAAAATGGCAGTAATGCTGCATTCTGTCAGCAGTAGAGATCCTGTTTCTTAGTTTAAAGCTGAAGTCCGGGAACAGAAACTGTTGTTTAAATATATTCCACAATAGTTTACTACTACAACTAGTTCCACCTACTACAGGAAACTACAGGAGGGGGCGAGACACAAACTAATCACCCTGGACAAGGAGAGAGAGCAACAGTGACTGATCTTTATTACAGGAAGCTCCTGCACAGAGGAAAAGTTCTGCGCTGGATCCTTGCACAGATCTGGAAGAAATACACAAACTTACACGGCTATTCACAAAAGGGTGAAGAGTTTGGCGAAGGCAGGAGAAGGGAACAATCTAGGGCAACATAGCTGAACTGAAAAGTGAACTGAATTAGATAATTTTTCCAATTCAGCTATGTTGTCCTAGTTTGTTCACTTCTCCTGCCTTCTCCAAACTCTTCACCCTTTTGTGAATAACAGTGTAAGTTATTCAAAAATTCCAAGTTAGAATACACATTCCTCTTGTATTTTGACAATAGTTGCCTATTCCGGAGTTCAGCTTTAATTACGTGTGGATCATACCAGTATATCTGTTGATTTTCCACTTGCTTCAACAGGGTGATACCACTTTCCTAATTGATACCGCTCCATCAATGCTTCTATTCATCAGCCAAGGAAACACAGGGTGCTTGCCAATGGAGCATGCCCTCGCTCCGATACTCAATAGGTCCGATACTCAATAGGTTTAATCTAGGATGAAAGACGGATGCACACAGCTGGTGTCACTTCGCCAATTAATCTAATTCCCTTAGCAAACTAATATAATGGTCCACAAGTCCAAATTACTTCCTCTGCAGAGCATTCCTTTCAAGCAGGGATCCAACTGGGACTATGCTTTAATGCCTTAGACTGTTACAGGACAAGAATCCCCACCTCCAGAGATGTCATTGTCCTAATGAGGAAATAGTATACATGCTTATTATTTGCTATCCTAAAGCTGGTCATACACTGTTCAACATTTTCATTCAACCTGCGAGCTGAACAAAAAAAAAAAAAAAAAAAAAGATTCATCCATTAAACGCTTGTAAGCCCCCGCTGTTCCCTCTGGTCATTCAAAGATTCGGCCGACCCGAAGTGCAGAGCTCCGGCAGGCTACTCGCTGCTGTTCGGCCTATTCTCATAGATGCCAAACAGCAGTGAGTGAATAGCCGAATGCTGCCGAGCGTCTGTGGTACCGAGCAGAATAGAAAAACAGTTTAAAAAGTAGAAAAAATAAAATTGCAAATGATTGGGTGGAACTAGCAGTGACAGCTAGCTCCGCTCAACTGTTTTCCATTGGCCAGGTGGTTCTGCTGCCGTCAGAATAAAAAAAAAACACCATAGGAATGCATAGCTAGATTCCTATTTGCTATTTCACTTTGCAATAGCCAATAGCAAACTAGCTATTGCACTCGCCCTCTGCTGCTGTCAATCACCAGAAGCGGACCTGATGGAGAACTGCAGGTCCCCCTCTGCTGATTGACAGCAGCAGTGGACGGGAGCAATAGCTAGTTTGCTATTGGCTATTGCAAAGTGAAATAGCCAATAGGAATCTAGCTATGAATTCCTATGCCAGCGGCCCCATGGCAGAAAAAAAAAAACTGATAGCAAGGAAAGGTTTACCTTACCGGGAGAAAGTGTTTATCTCCTGGGCGGCCGGGAGCCTTATTAGACTCCCAGAGTGTCCGGGAGAGTACTGACAGATCAGCATCCCTGGTTACCAGGTAACCAGGGACGCCATCTGTCATTACACACTGAGAACCAGGAGAGGCCGTTGTGATATCATAGCGGCCCCGCTGGGTTCTCAGTGTGTAATGACAGATGGTGTCCTACGCTGATCTCTCTACAAGTGGCCGAAGCCAGCCGTGAGATGTCAGAAGCAGGCTGTTCGGCCAGCTTCGGCTTTCACCTCGGCTCAGTCGCGCCGAGGCATATGCCTTCGGCTCGACTAAGCCGCACGGCCAACTTCGGGAGCTGTACGGGCTATAGTGAATAGCCCGTACAACAGCCCTTCGGTTCTACTGAACCGAAGGGGTTCTGGGGCTGAAGCTAGCCAAAGGATCAGCCGAAGCTAAGGCTAGATCCTTCGGCAGCTTAGTGAATAGACCCCATAGTGTGTGGCCAGCTTGAAAAGGG